AAAAAAAAAAAAAAAAAAGAAACACCAACTCCCAATATGACTATGTTTGTAGACAGAACCTTTAGAGAGGTAATTAAGTTTAAATGAGGTCATAAGGATAGGATCCTAAGCCAACAGGACTGTATCTGTATAAAAGAAGGAAAAGACACCAAAAATCCATGCACACAGAAAAAAGGCCATGTGAGTATACAATGAGAAGACAGATACCTGCAAGCAAAAGAGAGGCCTCACCAGAAATTAACCCTGCTAGCACCTTGATCTTGGACTTCTGGCCTTAGAACTGTGAGAAAAAAGCTTCTATTGTTTAAGCCACCCAGCCTGTAGTATTTTGTTAAGGCAGCCCGAGCTAAGACACTCTTGTAGTGTTCCCTGTGACCCCTCTGCTCCTCTGCTGAAAATAGGGCTCCCTGAGGAAAAGCCCTATTTATCCTCCACAGCACAGCTAAGCACAAGGCTGAGGACAAAGGAAGTATGTGAATGTAAGCCCCAAAAGGTAACTGCTTGGCTCTGGCTACAATGACAAAGTAGCTTGGTCATGCGACCCTTCCACAGGAAACAATTAACAATTACAAAATTTTGGCAATATATTTTAAATTATCAGAAAGCATTGAAGAATGACAAAAACAAGACAGAAACTGAAAGAGTCTACCCTTGAAAGAGAACTATGCATGCTGAGGTTTGTAAATCTGTACCTTTTTACCTAAGGGTACATGCCAATCTCTTTAAAGGCATGATTCAGAGTGACCAGAAGTGTAACCAGAAAGTTAGTAAGAAACTCTGGAAGGGAAAGAGTCACATAGGGATGAACCTCCCACATCTGCAAATGCATATTCTTACTTGGAGATTGCAGGGGTTCCAGCAAAAAAACGACAACTGAAAACTGAAAAAACCGAGTGGAGATTTCAGCTGCTGCAAAGAGAGGGGAGACAGGAGTTTAGAGCCTAAGTTTTGCCATATTAACTACATAAGACAAAATTCTTCTTTGGAAGATCATACCAGAATCCAGAATCTCTATAATGTATTGTT